CCCTGCCTGCCGATATAAGAATAGTATTAAAGAAAAACCGCATCCGTAAAGATGGCAAGCCACCAGGGATCCACAACTCAATACGAACCTAACTTTATGCAAAAGAAATCAACAGAAGAATCAAGAACTTCAAAAACTAAAAATGGACCAGTTTCCTAAATAACCTAGCTATAGAGGACAATTCCCTATTTGACATTTCCCGCAATTCAGAAACCTTATAAACCTATTCCACCTATCTATGACCTAGTGGAATTTCATATACAGAAGAAGATAAGCTAAATCTTTTGCGACTATATGGAAGATACATTCCTCTTATCCCACTCCGTACGACAATAACCATTTTGACGGTCCCCAGGTGGTCAAAACTTCCTTATACCCCGCTCCGTACAACTTCACTTTCACTTTCCTGACTACCCCCACAATCGTTGCCAACCCATCAGTGCCTTACAACGAAGAAAGCCCCCGGGCACGACGGCATCTCGACCACACTGAAGCATCTTCCCGATCAACGCTGTTACCTGCCTAACTAAATAATCAACAACTTATCCAATTCGCTCATTTTCCTAACTCATGGTAGCAGCTATAATAATTGTTTTTGCTAAAACCGCAACAAAATCCAACTCTCCCACAAACTATCGCCCTATCAGTTTCTTAGCCACTTCTAAAGTAACTGAAAAACCTCTTTTCCACCCAAAAAATTCACCCCCATGAATTTTTCCCAAGACAATTCGGTTTTCGTAATCATCATAGCACTTGCCACCAACTTCTTAAGTTAGCAAATTATCATGAAGGCTACAACTGCAAGCTTCCGACCGGTCTTATTTCTCGATATCGCGAAAGCTTTTGACAGGGTAGGCATCGAGGCCTTATTTCAAACTAATCACTCTCAATTTTCCGACATTTTATTCGCTTAATAGCCTCTTTTTCAGCAAAACATTCAGAATCAAAATCGGTACTGCTTACTCTACCACCAGAGTAACAATGCTGGTGTCCCACAGGGGTCGGCACTTTCGCCGTACCTTTTAATATTATACACAAGATATCCCCTAAAGACCCTTTTGTCATCTGCACTCTTTGCCGATAACACCGCCATACTTACTAAGCCTGCACAGTTATCGCCGAAGAAACACTCCAAAACTATCATAAAACTGGAAAAATGGCTCACCCTTTGGAGGATTATAATTAACATTGATAAAACCAAGGCAATAATTTTCCGTAAGGGAAACTTGAACTACTATCCTCCAGCCCCCTGAAATATTTGATGAAGAAATAGACTAGATTAATGAAACCAAATACCTTGGAGCCACGCTTGATCAAAAACTTACCTTCAAAACCCCCTTCCGCTCCGTAGTACAAAAATTTAAAATCACCACAGCTACTATGCAACCTCATCTTTGTAGAAGAAGCAACTTATCTACTACAAACAAATTCATTTTATATCGCTCCATACTTCGTCCAGCCCTCCTTTATGCAGCTCCGATTTGGGGACATGCACTAAAACCAATATTAAACAATTACAAATTTTACAAAATAAATTCTACAGAAATTACAATGCCCTTGGTAGATTCCCAACTCTATATACAGAGACCTTCGAATCGAGCTTACTCAGAGTATCTAAACGATTAGCGGTCAACTTCTTTTATTCAGTACAAAACCACATAATAGCCTTATTAGCACTCTCAGACACTCCCCGCATCCCAGAGAAGAACATCGTTACCCTGGTGACATCCTTCCCACATAAGAATAGCAATCTTAATTGACTCATTCACGCTAAACTGACTCTGCGGTTTTACCACCCACGGCTACATCTTATAACGACACTGAACATGACACCCCCCTTTTTTTCCGCCGCTAGTGCGGACCTCACTCTTTTTCATCCGCCTCTCACACCCCTTTTACCCTACTCTTTCTCCCCCCAACCGATCCTTATCAGAAGTCGAGTAAAAAGATGTTTCTACATCTTGAAACTCCTCCCCCCACCCGATCTTTATCAGAAGCCGAGTAAAAAGATGTTTCCACATCTTGACACTCGATTATTAAATACGATCTGTGTGTTAACGGAAAGGACCTCGAGTCTAACCATTTCGTTTGAGACCTATTTCAGCGACCACGAGAGGTTGGAGGAGTCTTTCATTCATTTACGTTTCACATAAGATCCCTTAGACCTTAAGAAAAGCTATTACCATCTGTTTATCGGAATCTTCCACTCTTCTAGTCAATAGTGATCCGTTTAACGAACTCTCCCACACTACAACATCTGTTCTAACCCATGATAATAAGAATTTCATCAGCAACCGTTTATATCGAAATTTCCTGCCTCTGTACTAACCACCAATAGTTTGGATTTTATCAGCATCCGGAGATCCATTTTGAAATTGGACTAGAAGCTATTCTTAAGAATATTAGAAGAAAATCCTCTAGCTCGTCTTTCATACCTCTCTAAATCTCAAGAGTGTTGTCTATAGTGGAAACGGAAATTTATATAACGATCTGCCCCTCACACCTCAACGGTCAGCGTAAAAGAGAACCTGCAGAACGGAAAGGATTTGAGTCCAGACCGTTTCGCTTGAGACCTATTCCAGGGAGTCCAAAAAATATACAATCTGTGAGAGATTTTTCTCTGAGCTCGGAAGAAACCCAATCTCAAAAAATGTCTCTTTAGAAATAGGTTATCGAAAGAAGCATTTTGCTTTAGATTCTCGTAGCTGATCCGTGAAGGGTTTTAAGAAGACAGTTTTGAAACCACAGTGTAAAGAGGGGGCAGCAGAACAGAAGTCCTTTCACCCCATTTCAGCGACCACGAGACATTGGAAAAGATATCCAAAAGAGAGAAAACTAAACATCACACACATGTTTTAAAATAATCATGCTTTGAGGAGCGAGGAGTCCTTTCAACTCCTCTCTACATACATATACTACATATATATTCTCTACACTCATATTTAAGAGAGATCAGATCTAAAGAGTATAGTGAAACATATGAATCCATCGAGATAGTATACTGGTAGAGAGCGTATTGCAACCTTCAACCGGTTCCAACATTAGTGTCACGTGACTGCTGCGCGAATTCCGAAAGTCCGGAAATACTTTACATTGCTTTCTATGGGACGAAAGATTGCTGCTCTGCTTGGTCACATAAAATTTAAGTAAAAATAAATGGTTATTCGCTGCAGTGCCTACGATGTAAAGAAAGTTTCGTGAAAGGAGGACTTGTACCTTTCATAGGTAAGTTAAGCTGCATGATTTATTATTTTATTTTCAGTATTTTTGTCATTTTACTATCTCTATTGAATTGGTTGGAAAGTTTCAGCCATATTGTATAAGAAAATTGCCGCCGTATATGACTTTTCAGCATGTATTATTAGCATCAAATGTATTAAATACTGTGACAACTATTTACTGGAATCACCCTTTACAATAATTGAATTTTATATGTTTTTTTCCGTGTATTCCGTTGAATAGAAAGCTGCGCCAATGGCGTTAACTTTTTTTCGCCAAGTCGTACGCGTTTTGATTTTCATAAACAATTACTGCCTGCAATAAAAAAAGAAAAATGTATTATTAGCATTAAATATTGAAAAAGATGTGCGATATGTTTATTTGTTAAAAAAAAGCTGAAGATCTGATTCTGCAACATTGAACATAAACAGTTAACAGCATTATTTTAAAAATCAGATTACTTTTATAAAGCTCAATGCTTTATCAATTTTTCTATAAAATAAATTAAAATATCTGGGATTATAATTGTCTCATCACGATGCTGTAGAAATTTATCGTAATTGAAAAAATGTGATGTGAAAACTTACCATATTTTAAATAGCATTTAAAAAAAGGAGATGAGAATTTTTAACTGTAAATCGTTTGATCCTAAGAATAAATACTAGTTGAAGTTTGTTACCTTTGATACATATCAATATAAATATTTGTTATAGTTAATAATTTAAACAATTAAATTTAATTTTTAACAAATACGTATAAAAAAAAGCAAATTTAAATCCAAAAAAGCCAAAATAGTTTTTTTAAAAATTGCAACATAAAAAGATTTAATACTCGACTAATCTAAATCTCATTTAAATCAGAAGCATACAAATCAAGTCAAATCAATCCATTATTGTTTTAAAAATTAAATTTGTTAAAATCATCATTATTTTAAAATTAAAATTATATTTGTTTAATTTAAATTCATTCCGTGCAGCAATGGCGCAAAGACTATTAATTATTTGTATTAAATTGATTTTTTAATAAATTCATTTTTAATGAACAATGTTTAGTTAATAAGATGTATGATCCCCCATGACATACACATGAGTGTGGAAATCAGTAATTAGATTGCATTATTTTGTCCATATATAATCTCAAGAAAAGATAGGCATTATTTGTTCCATAATATAATCCAAGAAAGAGAGGCAATCAATGGCATAAAAACATATAACACATGTGATTTCTTTTTCTCTTTGGATGCATGCATTAAAATTAAACGGATTTTCTACCTTCTCAAAATTATAACAGTAGGCAATTATTAAAGTATTCAAATAAAGTTTCCACTCAATTTTATATATTTTATATTTTTCCGAACAATTATTTAACCTAAACATCTAAAAAATGGGGAATAATTAAGCGATTATTAAAAATATAGATAAAATATCGGAAAAAGGGTTATGTTATATCTAATATAATGTAAAATCGAACAACCTAATAGAGGCCGTTGTGCTGTTAGCGACGGAATAAAAAGCCTACTGCCAGATAAAAAGCGGCCAAAGGCGATGAACAGACTAACTATCACTCCCCCGAGCGCCAAAGCATAGTCAGTGTAATGTGGAGAACAAGCAGACGAATTCTCTGTGGGTGAGCCGTCTACCTTTTAATGAGTGTTGTCGAATCACGCCCCGTATCACAATACATTAGAACAAAAATTGTCTTGAAAATCTATTACATCTTACAAGGCTATACTAGACAATGTTAAAAGAATACTTTGAGTAAAATATTTGTAAAGGACTTACCTTTCATGAAAACCATGTCTATTCAGATGAAAGCATGAATAGATTTCGAAAAAGTATTCTCATCTTAAAACTCTCGGGACGGAAATGATATTTCTTTTTTGTTTTCTAATCTACAATAGACGACATTCATAAACAATTCCACTGGAAATCTCCTTCTTTGACAAAGTGCTTCGTAATACGAAAAGAAACATCCAACTCTTCTAAGATTCAGAAGTTGTAAAAAATTCCCGAAAGAATTTCCTCTTAAAAACATCATGGGTCCAGATTGTGTAGAGAGAGAGAGACATGTTACTTCTTCAAAAGCCCGCATGGATCTGAATTGAACGCGGAATATTTTTATAGATAAGCGAGGAAATGAAAGTGAAAGCAAAATTCAAATGGGAACTGAAAGTTAAAACCAAATAGAATTTTAAGAAAAGAATGAGACATGGTCTATTTTTATCTATTTTTAGAAAGGGTGAGACATCATTCCCAGACAAAAAGAGTAGGTAGTTAATTTTTATAATGTCTAAAGACATTATAAAAAATTAACAAAAGGTGGGTTTTTTTTTTTTTAATACAATTCAGAATTTTTTTTCTGAGCTCTAAAAATTTTTTAATTTTTTCCCAGTCGACAGCCAAGAACTTTTCCAAGCTAATACGATTTGGTTTTTACTTTCACTTTCAACTCTTTCCTATAAAAGCATTCCACGTTTCCGTTCAGAACAGTGCGGGCTGTCGAAGATGCAACATGTTTTCTTCTCTCTCTACCTAATCTGGAACCATGATGCTCTTTCTCAACAATAGGAATTCTTTAGGAATGTCTTGCAATTTCTGAACCTTACACGAGCTGAATATTTCTTTTCATATTTCTAAGCAATTTGTCAAAGAAGGAGATTTCAATGGAATTGTTTATGGATGTCACCTATTGTAGATGGGGAAACTCATATCATTTGAGTCAATACTGGAACACCCCGAGAGTTTTAGGATACGCATGTTTTTCGAAATGTATTCCTGTTTTCGTCTGGATAGAAAATGGTTTTCATGAAATGGTAAGTCTTTTTCAAATATTTACTCAAAATATTCTTTTAAACATTTCCGCGTAAAGTATTGTAAGATGTAATGGACCATTAAAACAAATGTTAGTTCCTTTCGTTATTGTATTGTAAGATGTAATGGATCACTAATAACAAATGTTTAGTTCCTATAGTTATTGTTATACCAGACATGATTCCTGTGTTTCACTATACGTTTTAGGTAACACCTCTCGTAAATATGACTTTTATATGTATAGTATGAAATAGGCATTGCAGAAAGAATGCGAAAGAGAGATTTTGTTTCTATTTTGTTTTCTCTCTCTCCTCTCGAACTAGATAGACAGAGATATTTGTCACAGCTCTCAGATTTTTTACTCCAACCCACTCAATCGACAAGACGTCCTCATTTTTGTAAGAATGGACTGTCGTTTATCTATTTAAGTTATTCGAGTTTCGCTTCAGATGAGTCCGTGCTGCGGCCTCACCTGGATACAAACTCTACCCTTCTAGAAAGAGCTTCTGTGAAGATGGGTTTTTTTCCATTTTTTGCGTCTCACAGACTAGAAATACTCCCTCAGTTTATAGGAAAATATTTCCCATTTGAAAACGTGTTACTTCTAGTTTGGATTTCATCAGCAACCGTTTATCAGGTTCTAGCGAAATTTTATCATCCATCCATTTATCAGAATTTCCCATCAGTGCTTTGGATGGATCAGGATTTTAACATAGTTCAAGAAAATCCTTCAACATTTGAAAGGAGATGCCATTATGTTATGTTTAAAGACATCTTCCAATTTTTTTTTCCCATGACGGAATCCGTCTATCACACACCTTCTTCAGAAGTGAAGTCAGTAAGAGATTTTTCATACCGGGTTTTCAATTTTCACCTCAAACCATACCGTTGACGTGTGGGAGACAGACCGTGATATAAATTTCAGTTTCCATGACAGACAACACTCTTGAGGTTAACAAATTATGAAAGACATGCCACGAGAGTCAGGGATATTTTTTAACATTATTAAGAATAGCTTTCCAGCTAAATTTCAAAATGAACACCCTTCTAAACACACTCCCTTTTAGATATTATTTTAAGGAATCTGAGAAACATTTTCCCGGTAGCATATTTCACAAGTGCACATCAACGTAGCCACTGAGGGAGGGGCTTCGAAAATGGACCAATGAACTTCTATTGCTCTTGTGACGCTAAATTTTCGTGGCTATGAGCGTATGTTGTTTATGTTTTAATGGTTGTTTTACAGTATAAATGTATGGCGTAATAATGAAATCTGTAGTGATTTCTTTTATGAGCCTGAGAGGGACTGGAATGTTGAATGAATATAGTGTTTTTATTTCAGTGCATTGTTTTTTAACGTGTAAGATTAGATACATATTGTGCTTAATTGATTATATCCATGTAACATTAAAAGTACATGTGAATAAGATAAGTAATCTGTGTAGATATGAGTATTATTCTTGTGTAAGTACATTAGAGTGAGCAATATAATGAAATTAACATTAATGTATACGAATGCAAATTAGTAAATCTCACTTTATAATTCGGCTGGGCTGTTATATATAGGACATCTTTTCAATGCTGCAAAAAATGGCTGTCTTCTATTTACATATACACTCTGTCATAAATTAAAGATAATTCGGGTCACGCGGAGTCCGAACTCTAAAATAATATATCACCTGTAAAATCACTACACACATCTTCAAGAATCATATGCAAATTTCAGGAAGTAACCAGATGACACCGATGGTACGTCACAATGACGAGAGTGTAAGAGAGTGATATATAAGGAATACAGGCAAAGAAGTAAAATTGTTCGCAGGCGCTTTATAAGCATTTCAGTGCAATAACCGAATAGTTTATGACACAAAGGACGCATTTGGATGATTTTTACGTGGTAGAATTATCGGCCGTCTGGAATGTGGGCGTACCCAACTGGAAGTATATCAGACGAACTTGGAATTGCCCAGAGTCATCTCCAGGCTTTGGCAACGATTCCAAGATGATGGTAATGTGAGTAGACGTTACAGGACAGCTCGTCCCAGAGTTACTACGCCAAATGAGGACCGGTACTTGGCAGTTACTGCCAAAAGAAAAGAACAGGCGGAGCACAGCCTCAGACCTGTCTCGTCAGCTCTCTTCAGCCACTGGTACGACAATTTCAAGGCAGACCGTGTACAGACGCTTAGGGCAGATTGGTCTATATGCTCGTAGACCTGTCAGATGCGTTCCATTTACTGCAACTCACTGTCGCCTGCGGTTAGCCTGGAGTAGAGAGCATGCATTGTGGACACCGCAACAGTGGGCTTGTGTGATCTTTTCCGACGAGTCCAGGCTTAGCTTGCAGTCTGATTCTAGCCGGACTTTCATATGGAGAGCTCCAGGTACCCGTTACCACCACGAAAACATCATTGAACGACACCGTTACGGTGGTGCAGGAATGCTCGTTTGGGGTGGAATTATTCTGGGTTCCAGAACTGACCTGCATGTTCAAATTGGAACCATGACAAGCCAAATCTATCGGGACGTCATTCTGGAACAACATGTACGTTTGTTTCGGGGCGCCATGGGCGCACAATTTGTGTTTATGGATGACAACGCCCGTCCTCACCGTGCAAACATCGTAAGCGAATGCCTTCAATCGGAGGATATCACCCGTATGGACTGGCCAGCATTCTCACCGGACTTGAATCCAGTAGAGCACGTGTGGGACATGCTTGGCCGACGAGTTGCAGCCCGTCAACCTCCTCCTACATGTCTACCGGAACTTCGGAGAGCATTGCGTTTTGAGTGGTGTAATATCCCCCAAGATCAGATCGATAATTTGATACTCAGCATGCCTAGGCGTTGTACGGACTGTATTGCATCGTCTGGGAGACATACAATGTATTAACAATCATACCAACCATGTAATATTGGTTTTTGTAAATAGTTTTTTTTTGTAATTTGCTCCAGGGAGAAAAAATCGCTAATTTTTTTAATAATATCAAACATATAGCATCTTTTTTTGCTCTTTACCTTTTGTTTAATAAATAAGCTTTACAAATAAGTCAAATTTGTTTTGCTTCTAACTCTTCCTTTGCCTGATTTTGCATTATCCTTAATTTATGGACATAGGTTCATAATTAGTGTAAATATTTTTCTCCCATATTTCTTTCTTCATCTTATTACACTTATTATATTCAGTGATAGTTTTGTGGATACCAATGTGTTTGTATTATTCAAATCTTTCAACAGGTAGGAAATCTTCCAATTTCGTTTCCGATCCAATGCTTTATTTGATCACTTTGCAAGCAAAATTTCAGAGAACTCGACGATGCTTACTATTTTGTACGAACTGCGTAGCAGATATTTTCAAACCATTTTCTCACTTTTAAGCACGCGAAGGTAGGTGGATTACAAAATTCGACGGATTCCCATTGGTCCATCCTAGAAGCCACTCCCTCGGTGGCTAAACAGATGTGCACTTGTGAAATATGCTTCCCGGTCAATGAGATGACTCGAGAATGAACTTTACAGTATTATTAAAAAATTAAAAATCTTATAGAAAGAGACAAAGCTAGATCATTTTCTAATAAAATATTTTTCTAAATTTCTGAAAGAAGATATGTCTTGCCTGTTGTCTGTTTGAGGTCCCTCCTTCAGCCTTACTCAAATCGTCATGTCTTTTTCAAACTGAATTGTTGAAGGTTAGAGAATGAAATGTTTTGGGCAGCCATCATGCAAGCCAATCGGATTGGTTGAAGATTTATTCCATCCTGTTGGCCTTTGAGAAACAGCACACAGAAAAAGAATTCAGAACCCACAATAACTTTTCACGGAACTCTGTAAGTGAAGTGCGGTGCATTTGATATTGGAAGCCCACTCCTCTCGTGATTATTTGTGAATAGGTAAAAAAGGGAGAATGATTCCCATTACGTCCCTTCCGACAACATCGTTGAGGAGTTGTCCAATAGTTCCATGAGAAAGTTCATTTTTATCCATTTCAGCGATTGAGTTGGCTGGGAAAAATTTCTCAGAGCTCAGGAAAAAAAAAGCTCTTTTCAGGAGGGAGAAGCATGTGTATCCAGGTTGAATGCATAGCACAGACTGATCTGTAGTCGA